CGAGCGATCGCGTAGAACAAGTTGCCCTTCCTGATCAGCTCCAACTCCTTGCCGTCTTTGACGATCCACGACTTGCCCTTCGTGAAGTAGGCGTCGCACCCCGACTCGACCATCACGCCCAGCGACCAGATCGGCCTCTTCACGTCCAGCACCCTGTAGTCCGTCGTGATCTTACCGAACTCCGTCTCATATGAAACCCGACGTCGCCCGTGCTGCGCAATCGGCTCGCCAGTCGCCGTTACCATGCGCTTCGGATGTGCTTCCTCTCGCAGGCCGTTCTCCGACACGTGATCTCGAGGACATACGTTTGCCGAGGCGCCCGAGTCGATCATGATGAGTTCGCACAGCTCGTCGCCCTCGAACTCCTCGTCGACCATGAACACCCAGCCGTCGTCCTGCTGCACCGTGTTGACCGCCGCGGCCGTCCCCGAGCCTCCAGCGTGTCCCACCTTCTTCTTCTCCTCGAGCCACGTGGTGAACTTCGGGCAGTCCTTGCGCTCGTGGCCCTTCTCTTTGCAGAAGAAACACTTCCTCTCCTTCTTGCTGGCCTCAACTTTGTTCTTGTCCTTGCCATCTCCCTTGCCTTTGCCTCTGCCGCCGTCCTTGCCCTTGCCATCTCCTTTGCCTTTGCCTCTGCCGCCATCCTTACCCTTGCCTTTGCCGCCATCCTTGCCCTTGCCCTTCGAGGTAAGCGCGTCCACCTCCATGGGGGCCGAGTCGCCATCGACACCCCAATGCCTCGCCGCTTGGTGCACCGCCTTCCACTCGTCCTTCAGCGACGTGTAGTCCTGCAATCTCGTCGCGTTGAGGCCGACGTGCCTCCTCCACTCAGGGTCCTCAGGGTTGTTCGAGATCACCGCCGCTTTGATGGTCTCCTGGATGATGTCGCCAGACTGCGCCTCGTACTGCCTGACGAGCCTCTCGAACTCCTCGATGGCTAGCCCGCGGTCACCTGTGAACTGGTACTGGAGGATCTGCATCAGCATCGCCCTGAAGCGACCCTTGTGAGCCGGCTCGAACTCCTCCAAGAACCTCCGCCAGATCTCGTAGCCGTTGCTGGGTTCTGGCAGCTTCATGACCATCTGCAACGCTACGTCCTTCGTGTGCATGGTGAGGATGAACGCCAGCTGCCTGGCTCTCTTCTTGGCTTCGGCGGCCATGTCGTTCATCGTGAGCTCTCTCGACGGGTTCGCGTCCACGTCGAGCACCTCCGCGTGCAGCGTCTCGTCTATCGCCGACAGGTACTGGCGCATCTTGAACGACCAGTTCTTCCACTCCTTGGCGTCGCCTGTGAAGATCTCGGGCTTGTTGCCCACTCGCAGGTCCACCAACGAGACCGGCGCGCCTGCTCGCGCCTCTCCTGCTGGCTGCTGAGCTGCTGCGCCGTTGCCTGCGGCCCGCACCGCCGCCAGCTCGTTCTGCGCCGCCGTGAGCTGCCCCTGCTGCGTCTCGATCACCGTGCGCTGCTGCCGCTGTTGCTCTTCAAGCTGAGCCAGCCTCTGCGTGAGCGCCTCCATCGCTCTCTATCGTGTCCACGATCTGTCTATCGTGTTCACCCCGCTCTCTATCGTGTCAACCACGACTCGTCTATCGTGTTCACCAACACGCTCTCTATCGTGTCAACCACGGCTCCAGGCTACCATGCGCGGAGTGGGCGTCAGCCGAACGGACTGTGACATCATTTTGACTTGAGCCAAAGCGTCAACGACAGATCTCCAGTCATGATGCTGCTAAGCTGCTGCTGCTGCTCGTGCTGCTGTACACTATGCTACACAAGCCCCTCTGCTGCAGATGACCCTGCAGCTCACTACAACATCATACTACCATGCAGGACCCTAATGTGCCAGCCAGGTTTAGACTACATTACCCCTGACACCCCAGAAACCGCCGCATCAAGAGGAAAATCTTTCGTCCTGCGTAAGTGCGTTTCGGCCCTGCGTCTCCTCACCCAACGGATTGCCTGTGAGATGTGGTGCCGGCTGTGGTAACCAACAACGGATTGCGTGTGAGATGTGGTGTGTCGGCTATGTGGTCACCAACGAGTCCGAAGGCCAAAACGCTCATCACCAGGACGAAAGTTTTTCCTCTTGGGCCTGGAAAGACGGTGTGAAGTCTTGAGCAGACCCCGTATGAGATAACCGCCGTCAGATCTCATGAAGCTCGCGCGGATCCAAATGTGGTTTTCGTGTTTGTTTCGGTGGATCCGATTTCCGTCCGTACGGATCCGATTTCGGATTAGCTGGATCCGTGTCCGGTCTTTGTTTTTACGGCGGATCTGATTTCTACCCTGTTTAAAATTTATATAATTAAATTAAACCAGGGAACCGGAAGAAATCGGATCCGCGGACCCCGCAAACCGCCCGTGTTAAGATTATATGGGGAGGGGGGTTCGGTAATCAATTTTCCACGATGGGCCCTGCGTCGTCTCGCGCACTCCCATCAACTCCCCGCGCGAGCGGGCTCCATTCAACATGAATACATACATACATCCCCTCCAGTTGCTGCAAACAGCTCGTCCGGTCGCCGTCCGTTCGGCGGCGCCGACGTTGTCTCGCGAACTCCTCATGGCCATTTTCACTTCAAGAGGAAAATCTTTCGTCCTGCGTCAGTACCACCACCACACCCACCATCACCACCACCATCATAATTCACATCACCAACAGCAGCAGCATCATCATCTGCATTATCAGCATCATCATCAGCATCATTGCTTATCATCACCATCATAATCATCATCAGCATCATCATCATCGTCAACGCCAGCATCATCATTATCTCATTCATCATCATCATCATCATCATCATCATCATCATCATCATCATCAGCATCATCATCATCATCATCATCATCATCATCATCATCAGCGGCAGCATCATCATCAGCAGCATCATCATCATCATCATCATCATCATCGTCGTCGTCGTCGTCGTCGTCGTCGTCGTCGTCGTCGTCGTCGTCGTCGTCGTCGTCGTCGTCGTCGTCGTCGTCATCATGATCATCATCACCATCATGATCATAATCAGCATCATCAGAAGCAGCATCAGCATTATCATCATCATCAGCATAATCAGCATCGTCATCATCATCACCACCATCACCGGCAACACTAAAACCACCATCAACATTAGCATCATCAACTGAAACACCATCAGCATCAGCAGCAGCATCATCAGCATCACCATCCTCATCATCATCATGACGACCACCATCACCAGCAACATTACAACCACCATCATAATCAGCATCATCAACCGAACCACCATGATCATCATCTGCAACAGCATCACCAACATGGCCTCAGATGGTCTCAGGGTACAGTGCTGGAGCCCTCTGGGGGGCCCCCTCTCGAGGGGCCCCTGGGCAGTCTCGAGACCCCTTCGGCCAACGAGGTCAAAGGCACTCACGACTGCACGACTTCACGACCTCACGCTGGATCCCTCACGCCGTACGCCCACTGGGAACGACTCCACGACGCTCTGCCTGTCTCTGTCGGCATTCAAGAGCGTCACATGCGGTGCAGGAGCGCCAGGAGGCCGCCGAGATCTCGCCAAGACGGACCCCGCGGCCACGAAGAGAGCACACGAGGCCCGTCAGATGGCCCCCGAGGCAGCCAGCAGGCTCGCAGGAGGCCCCACGGAAGCCCCAGAAAACCTCCAAGAGGCCCCCGAGAGGCCTCCGAAGCGACACCAGGAGGCCCCCTCGAGACCGCGTGTTCACGACTCGGGCACGATTGCAGGACGGGCCAAAGGCTACCAAACACTGTCACAAACCATGAATCTATATCAGCCAGCGTCGATTCCAAATAGATAGGAGGACAGGAGGAGGACCAGGGGAGGATGGGAGGAGGACGAAAGGAGGACGGGAGCAGGACGGGAGGAGGACGGGAGGAGCAAAATCAAGCAAGCGCAAGCAGTCAAGCGGAAGCAAACAAGCGCAAGCGAGCAACAACAAGCAAGCAAGAGCCAGCGATCAAGTGCAAGCAAGCAAGCGCACGCAAGAGCAAGCAAGCGATGGCAAGCACGCAAGAGCAAGCAAGCAAGAGCACGCAAGAGCAAACAAGGGCAAGCGAATCATAGGAATGCATCGGAATACATATGACTCGCCATTGGAAATAGCTGGGGGGTGCCATTGGAAATAAGGGAGGGTGCCAGTGGCAAAAAGGGGGGCATTGGAAATAAGGGGGAGTGCAAGTAGAAAAAAGGGGGGCTAAGGACCAATTATGTAGGATGAGCTAGGACTCCTACAGGGAAACGCCTAGTTGGAAAATAAGCATAGGCCTAGGCATAGGCATAGGCGTAGGCGTAGGAATGAGGGGGAGGCATAGGCATAGGCATAGCCATAGTAATAGGCATCAGGGGGGACGCATAGGAATTAGGGGGGAGGGCAACGGACCAATTAGTAGGCTTTGAGATAGAACTCCTGTGGGGCAAACCTAATTGGAGAAAAACGTGAATTATAGCGCACACCAACTGGTGTACGGAAAACAATACGATCGAGGCGTTTACTACTGAACACTGGTCTGAACCCGTGAAATTAGGTTGTGGCTATACAGCGGAGGGCGTCATGAATGGTTCACTGATGCGGCATAAGCCTCATGAGTTCTCATCCTCCTCCTCCTCCTGCAAGTGCTCGGTCATGGCCCTTGATTCTTGAACAACGCTGTGTCCAGACATGCACTGACCGATCACACAGCGCACTCCCCCACACGCACACACACACACAGTCAGCCAGGTAGTCGGCGTCAATGCTACTGATATGCTACACTGTTGCACACCACCAACCAACGAACGAACGAGCGAATCGCCTCTGGGAGCGGTCCTCCAGGTCTGGCTGAGTCCACGTGGGGGAGGCGATGGCCTCTTGAAAAGTTCGACAATGCAGCGTGACTGGTAGACAGATAAAAAGGTGACGCCTAACATCTTGCGATACGCGTAACTTCGGCGCACCACGTTTCAGGTGGCGGGATGTAGGATGCCAGCGCCGCACGCCAAGAGCGCTCCTTGGTGACGGCGGTCCCAGCCTTGCCGCCCGCCTGACACCGCGGCAGGCGCGAACCCGGACGGACCCTGCAGGCAGGATCCGACGAGGAGAGCGCGGAAGATGACGGGCGGCGTCAAGGACGGCGACGAGGACGAACGAACGAACCACCCGTGCGGACAAGTGTCTGGGAATCGTCGTGGGGCCAGGTTCGTGAGGCCGTAGCCTCGAGATACTGGACTGTGCCTGGACACCAGCACGCAAGACAATTACAAATCAATACAGTCGGACTCAATTGGACAAGACAGGCGAGAGGACACAAGACCCCTACGAGGGCCACATGGCCAACGGAATGCAGAGGGCAGGATCACGAAACACAGGACATCATGGTACCCATGAGTTGGAAGGGTCGACCTACGAATCAGGCTCGACTGAATGTGAGGCAGAGGAGGAGGAGGAGGAGGAGGAGGAGGAGGAGGAGGAGTACGAATCCTTGCATTCGGTGTCACTTTGAAGAGAAGAGAAGAGAAGAGAAGAGAAGAGAAGAGAAGAGAAGAGAAGAGAAGAGAAGAGAAGAGAAGAGAAGAGAAGAGAAGAGAAGAGAAGAGAAGAGAAGAGAAGAGAAGAGAGAAGAGAAGAGAAGATAAGAGAAGAGAAGAGAAGAGAAAGGAAGAGAAGAAAAGAGAAGAGAAGAGAAGAGAAGAGAAGAGAAGAGAAGAGAAGAGAAGAGAAGAGAAGAGAAGAGGAAAGAAGAGAAAATAAGAGAAGAGAAGAGAAGAGAAGAGAAGAGAAGAGAAGAGAAGAGAAGAGAAGAGAAGAGAAGAGAAGAGGAAAGAAGAGAAAAGAAGAGAAGAGAAGAGAAGAGAAGAGAAGAGAAGAGAAGAGAAGAGACAATAAGTAAAGGGAAGGGAAGGGAAGGGAAGAGAATGGAAGACACGGGGAGAGAAGAGAAGAGAAAAAAGATAATTGAAGAGACGAGAAGAGAAGGCAAGATAAGAGACGAGAAGGTAAATGAAGAGACGATAAGAGAAGAGAAAAGAAGATACTATAAGATAAGATAATCGGAGATATGATAAGCAAAGATAATAGAAGAGGAAGAGACGAGAAGAGAAGAGAAGAGGAAGAGGATGAGAAGAGAAGAGAAGAGGGAAAGGGAGAGGTAGAGGAAAATAAGAGGAATATGGTGAGGAAGAAAGATAGAAGAGAAGATAATATGAAATAAGATAAAAGAAAAGAAGAGAAGAGAAGGCCCCGGAGAAATCCACGACAATCTATCAATGAGGAGGGCCAGGACGATGAGGAGCCCGAGCGGAGGGACTTCCGCTGGCTTAGGCAGCAGGGCCAGAACCTCGATCCCCGATCCCCCCGATCCTCAATCTTCGACGGCGGCGACGACAGCGCGGGTTCGAGCTCCCTTGGAGGTCTTCGGGCCGCCCCAGTGTGGCACGAAAACGCCGCAGGACCAAGAACCCCCAAACCCCCCCTAAACCCCGTCGCGTCGTGAATAGAAAAACACGTCGGACGGCTTTGGGCGATACCCTGCCTCCAGGAACCCGTAACAGGCCCTGGGACCGTCGGAAAGCTTGCCCTGCGGAAGGCAGCGAGAGGTCCAGGGATCCACGGTGTGACAGAGTCACACCGACGGGGTCATTGGAGAAACCAACAAGGTACCGAGACCGCTCCTCACCGGACCTCTCCTGGGGTGCGTTCCGACCAGCATCTGGAAGCGAACCCAGCGGTGGCATCGAGGGTCCCAGGATGACTACCTCCCAGACCACCCCAACCCAACCCGAAGACCCGAATTTCGGGTTGGGGGGGGTAAGGGTTCCACATGTGTTTTTTCGACGTTTCCCGACCCCCCCCACTGGAAATCGAGGGTAAATCTGAGCCTTCGGGTTGGGTTGGGGTGGTTTGGTGGGTGGTGACAGGAGGCCCAGCAGGGGGAAAGCGAGGGAACGGTGGCGGTGTCGTGGCCTCCGCCGAAGGGTAGGCCGAGTCGCGCAACGTCGCGCTTCCTTCGGGCCCCTCCGGAGGGCCGCGTCGGCCCCCCCTGGAGGTCTTCGGGGGGCCTCAGGCTCGAAGGCAAGCCTCGCAGGGTGCCACGAGCCCCCAGAGAAGTCACGGCAGGTGCAGGGGGGAAGGGGGGGGGGGAAGAGGAGGGAGACGCGAACGAGGAGAAGACGAAGGAAGGGAAAGAAAAGAGGGATATAAACGAATGGCAGAAGGATGAGGAGGACGAGAAAGACGAGGTGGAGAAGGAGGGGGCCCTCCCCAGACCCCCTCGAGATACGAGAAAGACAATCAAGCCTGTCCTAGTTTCGACCTCTGGGGGCCCTTACCGGGCCTCGGGACCGTCCCTGGAGAACGTGTCGAGCTCTGGGGGTCGACATCATGAAAAAATCATGGCGTCAGAGGTCATGGGAAGAGGGTGCTGAGAAATACCCGCGAGGGAGAACAGTAGCGATAGGCGGACAATGCAGTATTATAACTCCAGGGAACAACCACAAGAGCCGTTATGGCGCAGAGAACGAACCAAGGCGAAGGTTACAGGAGGAGGACGAGGAGGACGACGAGGAGCGCGTGGAAGACGCCACGATGAGGATGAAGAGGACAAAGCGCAGGACGATGGCGAGGGCAGTCAAGGAGCCGGAAGACGACGACGAACGCAAGGAGGTGGTAATGATGATCAGCGCGCAGTCAAATTAGCATGATGGCGCCAGCCCCAATTCACCTGCAAGGCCTCCCACAACCTTGGCGAGGAAAACCTGGAGGCGGACGAGGACAACGAGAATGGCGACACGAGGAAAATAGTCGCAGGACAGCTCTTCGGCCATACAGGAAGGATGACATTCTTACAGTCGGCACATGTCCAAAACAACTGCACAAGGACACAATCCTGGAACGCTCCCTGCCGTGCTATACTCATTCAACTAATTATGATCATCTGTCCAAAACTCAAGCAGTCGGAAGCTCTGCGCCTGACTGGGCATGTTGCCGAGCTCATTCGTGATGGACTTCACCGCCGCGGAGAGCTTTTCTGGCAGGAGCGGCAAACTAGGGCAACTATCTTCGCGTTTCGCGCTCCGCGAAGCGCGAAGAGCGATTATCATAGCGTTTTCGCGCCGCCCCCGCCCCAACCCCAGAACAGGATGAGGGACTCGCGCCTCGCTCTTCAATCCCCCAAACCGCGAAGAGGGGAGCACGACTAACTTCGCACCCTCGTGGGGGCCCTAGTCGCTCAGGCTGCCAGGCCCTGGTCGAGGCGGCCCGAATTCCCCACCAGCCCTTCCGACGCCAGGCGGGCTCTCAAACAAGACCATCAAGCCCAAGCCCCCGCTGGATTCCGCACAGCTGATGCCCTAGCTATGCCCGGTAAAACCTGGGATCTCTGGTGAGGGGGGGGGGGAGGGAGGGGGGGGGCAGGTGACGGCCGATAACCTAACGTTCTCGCGTTTGGCAGAACCACGCATGCCCGCGCGCACGATTACGGCGCACCCCCATTTCGGACCTGCGCAACCGACAAAGTCAGGTCATCGGGGGGGGCGGGGAGGGCGGGCGGGCGGGCCCGATGACCTCGGTTATCGCCGGACCCTTGAAAAAACAGTCACGTAACCCGTCCAACATCCCCCCCCATACGCTGCCACGCCTTTCGGACTCCTGAGGCGCAACTGGACGCATACTGCACACGAGTCAGCCATTTTGTTTGGGCCCGTACCCCCGGACCAAAGCGTCTCTGGCCATTGGAGACTTCATTGTCAGGCTCTGAACCTGTGCAAGCAGGGAGACTTGCCTTGCAGGGCAATCGACCAAGCGGCGCACAGGCAGAGACGATGCGGCACTGCCGAGAGTCATCAATGACAGTTCGCCCGCTCTACAATCAACGAAGACGCCTTTCGCATCAGGAATGCACTTTGAAGGCATTGGCAACCTCTCCGGCATTGTTTTCTGCCCAGCCCGAAAATGCGATCTTAGGAAACAGAACAAGAGCGTGGTCATCGATGGGTTCGGGGAGATTGCTCGAGTGCCAACGGGGACGCCCGATCACTGACCTGACCAATCACCTGTTTAATTGCAGTCTCAGGGCCCTAATGAATCAGGTCAGTACTTGGGCCGCTGGGCCATCACCTGAAAAGACTTGATAGACCCAAACGCTGACCAGACCCCTTTTCTGATCCAGAAAAATCTGATCCAGCTGGGGGGCAACACTTGGGGGATAGCACGGCTCTCACCTCAGCAACGATGGCGGAGGGGAAGGAGCCAGGTTCAGCCCTCCTGGTACCTCCCCACTCTCGGCCTCCTCGTCCCCCATTCCTCTTCCTGCTCCTCCTCCTCCCCCTCCGCTTGCCCTCTACAGGAGGAGCAGGGGGCTCGAGAAGGATCGAGATGATCGAAGACTCAGGTTCCTCCTCCCTCATCCGCCCTCCTCCTCCTCCTCCTCCTCCTCCTCCTCCTCCTCCTCCTCCTCCTCCGCCCTCCTCCGCCTGTCAGGCCCCTAGGTGGGCCTCCCCAGCGCGCCAGCGAAGATGATCGTGCGGGCCTCTGGGGACGAGGTGCCTCTTGATCCGAATCTCTGCGCCCGGACAGAACACCTGGGCGACGCAACCCGAGGGGAGGTGCCCGAGGTGCCTGCATGAATTCACATGCAGTCGGACCTCCCTGCTGATCCGAATCGCTTCGCGTTTCACCCCGACCAGCCGCTGGCGGGAGATGGCTCGGCCACCACCAGCCGCCTCGAGGAAGCTCGGAGGGCGGGATAGGCGGTTGTGCAGCGTGGGGGGGCGGGGTCGTTCGCAAGCTCCTGGGGTCTCTCAGCTCCCAGCTCCCTCCTACTGCACATGCAACTGAGCTCCAGGCCTTCTGCCTTGGGGCTGAATACTCAGACGGGTCGCCTGCCTACATAGGCGATAACGCGGCAGTGCTGGCTGCCAGAGCGAGCGGGTGCGTGTGCACCACTAGTCCAGCGTGGGTTGACGCTGGGAACAGGCGCCGAGTCAGGCGCGGAGACCTCGCGTATAGCGCGGG